TGGAAATTTTAAAGGTATCTAATGCTTGTTTCTCCCTCAACAATAATCATTTATATTTAGAACTTTTACAGTAATCGAATTATTCTTAAAAATGTCGAGCAACCACAATTTTCATTTATAATTCATTTTACCGATAATGAAATGGTACAAATTACTTTTCTTTAATTGTTTGTTCGAACCTTCAGTTTTTAAACTATATAAGAATTAACATCAAAAAATACCAAACAATCATTCAAAGATTTCGTTCACTTCCGATCACAATCTAATACGCTGTTTAATATGTTTATCAGGACTGTACAGTTTGTTATATTTTTCGAATTTTAATTTTAGTGAAATGGAAAAGTAATGTTACTTTCTTGATGCTAGCAGCCAATGTTCAAATTTTCAAAAATTTACATCAAAAATTTTATTAAGATTTTCAAAGTACAATTTTATAAATCATTTTTTACATTCAATCAAGAAATAGCAAGCAAAGAACAAATGACAAAGAAGCAATACAAATATTACTTAAGACAAATGGAGAAATCTATATTTTTGCGAATCTAATTATTTCCCTTATTAATATTTCCGTATCAATGATATCTGATATCGATATCATTAAGGAGCTTACTGTAGAATACAGCTTTTCATCCGAACTTTTATGCGCTTTCATATGTTTATTCAAATTACCTTTCTGAGTGTAATTCCTACTACATACTTCACATTCGAATGGCCGCATGTTTCCATGCGTCGATATGTGCTTCTTCAGAGTCCGGGATGCTTTGAATGTTTTACTGCAAATGTCACATATAAATGGCCGTTCGTTCCCGTGCATCAATTTGTGTCTCAGCAGATGTGAACAGTATACGAATGCTTTACCGCATATGTCGCATTTCAGCATCTTTTCAATGTCCGTATGTGTCTTTATATGTTCTTTCAGATAGCGGCGCTGCTTGAAAGCCTTATCGCACGTAGCACATTTGAATGTTCGTTCGTTTTCGTGTGTCAAATGGTGTGTCTTCAGAAAGCGGAACTCTTTGAATGTTTTATTGCACACGTGACATTCGAATGGTCGTTTGTTTCCGTGCGTCAAATGGTGTCTATTCAGATTCCTGAATTCCTTGAATGTTTTACTGCACACGTAACATTTGAATGGCCGTTCGTTACTATGTGTCACTTGATGTTTCTTCAGTTCGCTAGACCATTTGAATGTTCTATTGCACACGTGACATTCGAATGGTCGTTCGTTTCCGTGCATCAAATGGTGTTTATTCAGATTCCCGAATTCCTTGAATGTTTTACTGCACACGTAACATTTGAATGGCCGTTCGTTTCTATGTGTCACTTGATGTTTCTTCAGTTCGCTAGACCATTTGAATGTTTCATTGCACACATAACATTTGAATGATCGTTCATGCAACAATTGGTGACTCTTCAGACTGTCGGACCTTTGGAACGCTTTATTACATACCTCACATATGTAATTTTTTTCATCGGTATGTACCACCTTATAGCGTTTCAGATTGCCTGAACATTCGAATTGCTTATCGCATACCTCACATTTGTATCGTTTTTCGTTCGCTTTCCCATCATCAGCTGTAGTCCTTATTTCGTCGTCATTACTTGTTGCTTCTTGTATTGCCTCATCGCCTTCATTTGATACCTTAAATAACCCAAATTAATTTGTTAATATATTTGATTATTATTTTCCTGTGAATTTTGAGCAGCAACAATCAGAGGCATTGTACAGATTTCATTGTAGGATCTTTGAACGCAACAATTCACCTTTATATTTTAAAAATGGCTTGGTGAATTGTAATGAAAATTTGAAAAAAGTATCAGTTATGCTATATTGTGAGAGTTGACTTGAGACAGAATGATTAACAGATCGATGTAATAAAATTAGTTCGGTGATTTGATTTGCAAACTTTTACTTTTCGCTTTGATTTTTGCTATGGGATATGATCGCAAAGCAAAGAGTATTAAGAACAGGGAAATAGATAAGAAATAAAAGATTTAATTTTCCTCCACAGGAAGGAGATGTTTTTGTCCTTAGCTGAGATTGAAAATTTTGTGAATGCTTAATTTCTTTACTTAAATGCAATATCTTATTCACATACCGTTATTTGCGAGATGTACAACGGCAAAACAGATAATACGAAGTAGTATGAGAGATACATGATCGAGAAATGCGGGATGTGGAAATAGTCGAATTCTTTTCGAAAAATATTTTTAGCAGGCAACCAACCCAATGAAGTGATATTTGCTGCATTAACTGAGAGGACCGTTTTTATGAATTCCGGTAAGCTGATATGATCCGCGAACATTTGTAATCACAAAAGCCTAATCTTTTCGCATAATAATTTTAACTCCACTGCACTTTAAAATTTTTTTAGTTGCACTGAATAATAGTAGTTTTATGCAAATGTGATTATAATTGGCAGCATTGTTCAGAATTGTCATCAAATCCTTTCAATTCGTATTAGAATGAAATCACTCGATGAGAATACACAGTAAATTAATATGTAATCATCACTACGAAACGATGAAGCACTTTTATTAAAAAAGTTTGAAGTATGGAATTATTTAAAATTATTGAGATTTAAATTAGTTGCCATTAAGAATTTCAGGTATAAATTAATTATCATCAAGATTTTCAGGGTTAAATTAATTGTCACTAAAAATTTCAGGTAATTTCAGGTAAGATTTTGAACAAATCTTCAGCATCAGCAAACAGATTTTCAAAGGATTCAATAACCCATTGCTTGAAATATTATCGATCAAAAGATTTTTATTATCATTGAATTTTGTACGACCGAAGCAAAACCTAAAAGCTTTTATTGGAAAAGATTGTTTTAAATATTTTGCTTTTATTAATTTATCATTTTTTAAAACTATAACTGTAATGTACAGGAAATATTGCTTTTCGATGAAATGAAACTTTTTAAATTTGGCAGTGAATTATTTCAGTATAATCCGTTTTATATATTTTACGCCTTTAAATGATTCACTTCTTTCGTTCTGTGATTTTATTATTTTTAAGAAATAATATGCTGAAATCCAAAATTTAAATATTGTCATACATATTTGTTGTGTTGAAAAATTGCCGAAAATACTTTTGCATAGAATTTGCTAACGAAAATTCTATAAATTTGATCAAATATGAAATTTAAAAATTATTTTAAAAAAATTTTATGAAGAAAAATAATAATTATTGGAATGATGGAATGTTAACAATGAATTAGATATTTAAACGAAGTAAATATCATCCTTTATTTTTCTCTTTTCAAATCTTATCATTTTTTTTGAACGAAGATGAAATGAGAAATGATTGAAGAGAAATTAAAATCAGTGCTTCCCAGTCAATTCTACATATCATCGATATCGTTGTTATCGCTTGTAGGATGAATAATGGCTGAACAAATATCTTATCATTACTTTTTGACATTGCACTTTTGCACATTCTTTTTATTATGTAATAAAAAACGGGAACCAAAATAAATAAATAAACGAATAAATAAGTAAACAAATGAATAAATAAACAAACAAACAGATAAACAAATAGACAAATAAAAGACAATGAAGTGAGAAGTCATTGAATAAATTTGCAGTTTCAATTTTATGTTATATCCAACAAATTTTTATTTTATTATTTCCTTCTTTTAATTTTGTTTATGTTTTTATTCGTGAAAGAAAGTGTTACAGTGCTGTTAGTTTAGTTCGTCGTGAGACAAAGCAGTTTATCTTGTATACCATTTGTTCTTATTGAAATTAGTACGAAAGGAAGTAAGTGACAAATTTGGCAAACATTCTTATTACTCATCACTAACTTATAATCATTGTTATTTCATTAACATTATTGCTTAATGAAATAATTGGCTTAATCGTTTTCTATTTGTTATTAACGAATTATTTCATTGCTATCAGTACTGCTTTATTATTACTGCTATTGAATCGTTCGTAATAAACTTAGCAACTGCTCTTTTATCACTACCACTGTTTTCTAAATATATCTCAATGAATATTTTTTATAGTAGTTGAAACTATTATTGATAATTTATCAAACGATATAGTCAATTTTTTAATAGAGGAATTTTCCTTTATCTTTATTGTTAACTTATCTACTATCAACTCTATCATTCTAGTGCTGATGATAATAATGCCCATATTTAATGTTAACTATAAAATCATTAATCAATTGCGATTACCCATTCTGTTGATAATTGCAAGGTTTTAGTTAGTGTGATAATTACAAATATTACTTAGTTTTAGCAAACATAATAGAACAATAATAATTACGCCACTATCATAAATTTAAGGTAGTAATTACACATGTTGCTATGATAAATTTAATGAGTTCAAAATTTAAATCGAAAAAGATTTTATTTTTGCCAGCGAAAAAAAAAATTCGTTGATTGAATGTGTTGAAAAATGAATACGCCGTATCGTTCTTATTTGCTGTTTCTTCATTACAATAACCTTTTAAAATTTAAAATTAAAGATTTTAGCAAAATAGCCATTAATAATTGGTGCAGAAAAAATCTAAAGAAATGACTAAGAATTCTTTACCGCACCTCTACCGCATGGAAATTTTCAAAAAAATTTTTGCGAACATTAAATTTGTAAGAAATGCTACATCTGCTTCTGAGCTGCAATAGATAACATGGAAAAAAAGCGCAAGCTTGCTATCAGTAGGTTAAATTTGATTTTTCATAGTTGTCCCCGACGACATCCACATCGGTTGGGTATCATTACTAAGTTGTCATGGAAGTGCTGGTATATTCGTGATGGACTTGAATTTTCGCGTTTTCATAACTGTAACTAGTCGTTAACATTGCCATCGCAGCAATGAAGATATCATTCAAATGGCCAACGAATGAAGCTTATTTATATTGTCCTATGAAAGTTTATCTTCACATCAATTGATCATTTGCACTGCGACAGGTATCTATTGCATCTGTCATGCATTCATCAACTGTATTAATTCATCAAAGGTCAAATATTTTTATTACACAACAAATTGCGAATTTTTCCCTTCTCTCATTCCTGCTGAGCGAGATGAACAAAAGAATTACTTTAGCTTTTTACTATTGAATAGAGATAATGCTTTCAAAAAAAAAAATAAAATCGCAATGAAATGTTTTAAATTAAAAAGAGTAAGATCTTTCAGAAAAAAAATTTTGAAGTGTTGAAAAATTGCTGTTCCCTAATATATAAAGTAAGGGAGGTGCAACTAATTCTCTAAACACTTTCTTTTAAAAAAAGCACTAAAAGCGTCCTCATATCAGTGGGATAATTTCCTAATGTACACAACCTTTTTATTTATTTAATGGATAGCTTTTTCATGCTTTCAAATTTCTGTTCAATTAAAAAGATTGAAACGATATACTTTAAAATTAAGATCTTACTTTGAAAGAAGTCTCTTAGCTTGATTAATAATTGTTTACATTTAGGAAGTTATCAAACCAATATGGGAAAGCTTTTAGTGGTTTCTATATATGTATAACGATTGATTTTGCTACTGGTAAATTGATGTAGTCCGGAATAATGAACTTCTATAATGGCATCCCACTGACTGCTATGAGATCGGCAGACGAATAACATAGTGAATCATTCATAATCCAAAGTTTTTCTTGCGTTCGAGCAGTATTTTCTTCCGATCATTATCCGCCTTTCCATTATACACTGCAATATTTTGAAGCTGTTTATCGGTTTATCACTGTTTTTGGAAACTAAGTAAGCTATCTAATCTACGTATACGTTTTTTTTCCATTTAATTCTAAAGTTAGATGTGATACGAAAGATGTCTAGGATTGTATATGTTCAGGGCAGGTTGCGGCTTGACTATTGCATTGAATATAAAACGTTTTTCAATGCTTCAAAAAATGGCATATGTATATGTGAAACCTTAAATTTCAACCGTTGTCAGAAAGCAAGTACTGCAATGGATTAATATAAAATTATGAATTAATGTGATATTGCTTCCCAGTATACCGTTTTTAATTTTAGAATTGATTGTGGTATAGAATGAAGCCAATTGTGGTATCGGGTCCATCAGGAGGAGGGAAAAGTACCGTGATTGCTAGAGCGATGAAAGCATACCCCAATGGTTTTGCATTTGCTATTTCACGTAAGAGATCTTAACGCACTTATTCAGGCAATGATAGGCAATAATTTTCATGGTGGAAAAAATTCACAGTGAAAATTGTAGTAGATAAATTTTTTTGCTTCTTTTTGAATTTTTTTTACTTGTACTGTGCACATTAATGTTGTAGAATAAAGATATTTTAGATACAACACGAAAACCACGGCCCGGAGAGGTAGATGGAAGGAATTACTGGTTTGTAACCGTGGAAAAATTTAAGGAAATGATCAAAAATAAAGAATTCTTAGAGTACACAACTTTTGGTGACAATATGTATGGGACATCGTAAGTTCAAGTTTGATTGTTTTTTTTATTCAGGGAATTCCGTTTTATTAAATTGTTATCATTGATATTGCTGGATATAACTCACTTGTTCCCGGATTACACCTATCTACTTGGGTCATTATGAAATTTAAAATGGTGTCATTCAAGTTGAAAAAAGAAACATTAATCTTTTAGGAAGAAGGCATTGGAAGATGTGTCGAAAGCAGGGTGTATATGCATCCTAGATGTAGATATACAAGGTGTTCGAAATATACACAGATGTGGATTGGATGCAAAATATATTTTGATCAAGGCGCCAAGTCTAGAAATATTGGTTACTTATTCTGAACTTTTTGAAATCTATATTATTAAGGAATATGAAAAAAAATGCTTATATTTCTCTTCTTTTCCTTGATCTGTTGTTTATAAATTGCTGTTAAGACGCAAACTGGGTTAGAAAGTTGTTGTCACTAGTATTCTGGGTTTGCTAATGCTAGACTTATTGTGAAAATGCCAATTCTTACCACAGATAGCAGTAAACTAAAATATTAGGCCTGCATCACTTTAAAAACAAAAGGGACCAAACTCTTCCACCCTGATAATCAGTGCTATATCGGATTACTGGAGATCACGAACGGTTATGGAAGGATTTAAAAAAACGGTTATAGGACTTTTTATCTCGCTGTATGGTAAAAACATGGTGGCATTTTTAACATCTGCTAACTTGTGAATTCACAGAAAGGCGAATTTTGAGTATAAATCTTACTAGTATGATTGGTTACGATTGATTTTGTTTTAAAATATTGTATCTATGTATCTAAAAACAGACAATTTGATATGGAGAGCTTTTTTTTGCTCTTCGAAGAAAATTTAATTCGTTTTGTTAACTTCAGGAGCAACGTTTGCGTGCTCGCAAGACAGAGACTGAGGAATCACTGAATAAACGACTGAAACATGCAGAAAACGATTTAAATGCTGGTTCGTATTAGATCATTTTCTTGTTTTGAAATAGATACATCAGCTTTATGCGGGGTGCTTTTCATATGAAATTATCGAGCAGTTAATTGATATAGCATTATTTAATTTGTTGGATTTTAGTGGATGCCGAGCCGGGTTTATTCGATTTTGTAATAATAAATGATGACTTCGAACGGGCCTACAATGATTTTATAAAGGCTGTTAAAGAGGAGTTAGCCGAATTTATATCTCTTGAAGATGGAGTTAAAGTAACGGTTGCACATTAATGATTCATTGATTAGATCAAGTTCATCTTATGTTTGTTCTTATTTCTTCATTTGTGTTACATCAGTTCTGCAGTTTTTAATCTCATTATTAATTATTGTAATAACATGTTGTGAAACTGTTTATTAATATATTTTTGTATTAAATTACTATGATGGTATGTTTTTAAATGAGTCGGTAATTTTGATGCATGAGACAAAAGGCTTGCAGCGTATTGAATTAGGCAAACAATTTCTATTAGCGCTAAATACATACTTGATAAAAATAATTCTTATGTAATGTTTTAATCAATAAAAATTCAGAGCAATTCCATTTATTTTTGGGTTCATACATTTCTCTATTTATATTATTTTTCTTAGTTTTTTTCTCAAATAAAAATAAGGTTTGCAAATTTCAATGTCACGTATGGTTTCAGGATTTATATTTATATATAGTCACGTATGGCTCATGGCACTGAAAGGATTTCAAAATGTTAGACCCTGTAATAAAAACAAATATTAAGAATTATCAATATTGATAATTGATGAGACGGAAAGATTAGTATGAAATGGGGAGGAAGAGTTCGGGGACGATATAGTGAGTTGCGGTTCTGGCGTTTATTGGATGCATTTTTTGCAGAAGATATTTAAATTTGATAATTTTAAAATTTCGAAGAGAACTGGTGGATAGGGATTTTGCTTGCTTGGATCGTTGACAGTATAACAAAGTGATTTAGAATAGATGAGCGGTCTGTTCAACTTTTCTAAGATTCGTTGCCTGTAAGAAACGCTACATTGTTCGCTTTAGTGTTTTGATCTCATTCAGCATCCATAGTCCAGCATTATCTTCTTGGCCTGAATTGATATTTCGAAAAAATCTTGAGACAATCTGAGCAATCAGTTCATCACCTTCATATCTTTGTTTCAGGTACATGTTTGATGAATTGAGATTAGATGAGTTGTGCGGATGACGGAACTTATTTCAGTTTTTGATAGGGTCCATTTAAAAATTTGTGATGGCGACGAATTTTTCACGTTTGCCACCCCTACCATCATTAAAGAATTTCCTGTATGCATATCGACTACAAGCCAAGAAAATCCTCTCACAAAATTATCTAATGGATATGAATTTAACACGAAAGGTTAGGTATGCTCTTCAATTTTTTATCGAGAAGTGAGAAATAGGATTCATTAAGGAAGAAGAGGGATAGTTACATTTGAGATGTTTTCTTTCCATATTTCATGCAAACTTGTGATAGGTAGCTTCCTGATTGATTGTTCTGGCCTTGATTACGGATATAAAAGGAAGAAACTTGTTGCACCAAATATGTATGAAATTATTCTCCTAAGGTACATATTAAGTTAGGAGTGAGATTCGGTATTCTGTTAGTTAGTTTGTTAATTTTCGTGGAAGCAAAAAGGTAAATGGAGCAACTGATGAGTGATAGAATTGCTGCAATAATGTTTTGTAATTTTTTCTTTTTTTTTTGTTTCAATCTTCGTTTCTTCTGTTGATATAGATAGTAAGACAAGCAGAAGTGAAGCAAGGCGATTGTGTTGTTGAGGTTGGACCTGGCCCAGGATCAATTACTCGTGCTATTTTGGAAACGAATTGTCGACGACTTGATGTCATCGAAATTGACCATCGCTTCATTCCACCACTTGAAGTAAATTTTTGTGATGAATTATGTTAAATGATAAGTAGTAAGCAACTGCTTCATGGAAGCTTCAGAATTGTTCAAAAAACAGATTAACGTGACAGAAATAAGCAAATAGCTTCGCAATGATTCTAATATTTGAGTGCGTAAAAGATAATTGGAAATGATTGCGGGAGTTAGGGATGGAATAAATTGAATAAGTGGAAAAAGTTGGAATTGATAAATTCTGAGACGTATATATAATTATCCTGCTGTACAGGTGCTCAAGGAAGCAAGCGAAGAGCGTATGTTCATTCATCGGGCTGATATTTTAAAAACAGATGTTGAACAAATTTGGTCCCAGGCTGGTGTGGAACGTGTTCCTTGGGAAGATGATAGACTTCCATTGGCGCATATCATTGGAAATTTACCTTTCAATATTGCTTCTCCACTTATTATAAAGTGGGTTTTGTGTCCTTTACGAGAAATACCATTTGCGTCCTTATGTGAATTAAGCACTTGTAAGACAGAATCGGAAGAATTAGTTATTTAAATTAGATATTATCTGGAAATGATTACTTTCGCTTTCCATCTGTTCACTGCATGAAGTCATTCTTTTTTTATAGATTTCTTCGTGAAATGTTATATCGTCAAGGACCGTGGTCATTTGGACGTGTCCCATTGCTGCTGACGTTTCAGATGGAAGTAGCAGAACGTCTTTGTGCCCCAATTGATTCCCCATTTCGGGCTAGAATTTCAATTATGTCTTCATTCATAACCGAACCCAAATTACTTTTTCAAATACCAGGTATTGAATTTTGTAGACGGTTTTGTTCGAATTTATATGGCCAAAATAATTTATAGTTTTTGATTCTCTTGGTGCTTGTTTTTGGGTCATGTGTTGCTTTCAGATTTAATAATTATATATTAATTTAATAGGGCGGTGCTTTGTTCCACCTCCTAAGGTTAATGTCGGCGTGGTACGCTTTATTCCAAGGCAGGACCCACTGATTAAAACATCCTTCGAGGTCAGTTCTTTTTTTTCAAAGTCCAAAAATTCGATTTGTACTTTTCTATATATTTACAGCAGTAATTTATGACATAGAAGCAAATGTTAACTTTGTATCGAAAGTTTTATTTTCCTGTTTTGGTAACAACTTTGGATGATGTCGCAGCGGGACATAGATGCTTCAGAAACATTATACATTTTACAGTGCGCTTTGTGTTGGTTATGTTAATTTTTATGTGACGCCAAGTGTTATCTCCGATCAGTTAGTAATAATTTTGAAATGGTTACAGAAGTGAAACTGCGTCCATCCTAATGGGTTGAATTGTGTTCATTTGATAAAAACCTGGATGCGCTGATACTTACGTGACATTTTAGGTGGTGGAAAAAGTTTGCCGACGCATTTTTAACTACAGGCAAAAATATGTTATAAAAGGAGTTCGAAGTCTTTATCCGAAAGAACTGGCAAAAAATTTGGCGAATGACTTATTGGAACGATGCAGAATTGATCCCACAACTACTGCAATATGTCTTGGAGTAGAACAGTTTGCTGACGTATGCTACGTTTATGAGGAACATTGCCGAAAGTACTACTAATTTTTTCTTCTGCACAATACCTTAGTTTTAATAGATCGGCCAAATATGAGATTTTTGTTTGGTACCGTAGATTCTTTTATTATTATAGACCGTGATAATAAATTAGACGTTTCCACGTAGCTTGATTACGGTTTCTATCTTGTAAATTAATCTTGATTTTTATCGGAAATTATGGCGACACATATAATTTGTTTCACTTATTTCAGATATCCTGGTGTATATTTGTACGAACATTCAAATCAAGGTCGTACTCTGGAAGAACTTGCACGACTTCCAAATGCTGTACCACCGCCAAATCCCTTTGATAAGGAATTTCCATCGGAAGGTGTGAAATTCTCAGATGCTGTAGAATTATTTCAGGAATGCAACATGGGAAAATGAAGAAGCATTGGCTTTAAAAGGCTGATTACTAAAAAAGAAAATTCACTGTTATGATTATTAATAAAGAAAATTTACTGCTATTTCGATTTCACAAATTAATAAAATTAATAATCTGGTATATATATTTATTTTAAGTTACTTACATTCGATTTCAATGTAATTAATGAATTTAAGTAATTTATGTTATATGTTATTCGTTGATTGTATTATTTCTGCAGTAATGCAGATTACTGTTTGTATAAATGAATAAACAATGTAGCTAATAGACTATTCTTGCATATCACCAATTAATAATTGTCACATCACATTAAGATGTATTTTTTTGCTTGAAAGAAATGGCAAGAGAAGGGGACATAAGTGATGTTGAATACATTGAGTTTCGCTGCTCTGCCAGAAGGATTAATTCTCAATAGTTAACATGGTCAGTGTTACCTGTCTTGAAAAATGGAGTTTTAATCAGTTTGCAAGAAATGGGTCAATTCAAGGTTAAATTGGTGAAATATTTTCTATTTAAATTGTTTGTTTAAGCATCTGAATTTAATCTACGATTGCTGAGGGCGTGTATTACATTGCGTCATTGCTCCAAAACATCATGTCTGCTTTGACGCCAATGAAACTTAACGAACAGGTGTAGCATTATTGGGTTGTTTGATTCTGCATCATAAAAAATTTTGAGGTCCTGAGAGCCGCTTTTGCGATTTTTTGTGTCCTGCTACATGTGTTGTATTCTTTGTAATCCCAATTATTACTTGTCTTTTAGTTTAAAGGCCCAATTTTTAAGGTTTGTAATCTCAACTTAATTTTTACTCTTCTGCTTTCTTCATTTTATAACTTTCAATTTAATTAAAGTAGTTTATTTCAGATCATTTCAATGCGGAAACCCGTTGAAAGAGCTCGTGTTCGGTTATGTCGACGGCTAATCAGGCAAAGGAAATTGCTTCAAAAATCGAAAGACGAAAAGAAAGTTCGCAAAGTGAATCGAATCGCCGAGGAAATTGATTGTTGCAAAGTATTTTTGATTGTAATTTTGCTAAAACTTTGTTCAAAACATGTTAATGCATTGGCTCAAATTTTATAGCTAACAATTAATTTGCACTGGATTATTTCAGAAAGTATGCCGAGACGATGTGTCGAAGTTTGCATTGATTAATCTTAAGGCACTTAATGACTTGTTGAAAAAGGTTATTTCTTGTATTTATTTACTACAATATATATTTGAGAGAGCAGTATTGACCCGCAAGTGTTTCCATATTAGTATTTTTACCGTGAATTAATTTGAATTCATCATTTACAATTTTCAAAATTAATTTTGTCTCTTGAAAGATGTCGAGCTCTAAGTTGAACTAAATAGGTACGACTACTACAAAGAGGTCAAAAGCAAGTTATAGCACA